GGGAAAATATGCGGCTCCAAATCACTGAGGATCTCTTTTCCGGTTGCATCTGCCAATTCATATGAAGGCACCAAGCCCGACGGCATCTCCAAGAGACGTGGATAGAAAATAATAAATTTGTATCCTTGGACATATTTGGGGGGCGGGTTGTTCGAGTCGTAGTGCGTCTGGTTGTATCTATTCCAGTCAAAGCCGGAAAAAACCCTGCTTACATACCTGGGGATGAACTTTCGCGACAAATCCCCCTGGGTATCGAAACTGATTACCGGAACAGCTCCATAAGACTCCTCAGCCTCAGTCGCCTTTGAGGACGAGTGAAAGATTTGCTGCTTTATGGCTTGGGGATGGTCATCTTCCATTAGCAGCTTGCTCTTCCCAGTATCTTTAATGGTCTCTGAAGAGCTTTCCGCCGTTGAGGGTGACGCTTCTCGAGATTTGTTAAAAAGCTTACTTTGATGAAAGAGCAGTGTTTTCGCTTTAAAAACCTCAACTTCATGTAGGACGGCATCCCAAAACGTTGGATCAAAAGAGTGAAGTTTGACTTTTATATTTGTCTGAAGAATCGATAGGCTTCTGATTTGCTCCTTTGGAGAAGAGGAGCCAGTGGACACTTCCTTGAATATCTCCCGGATGTCGCCAATGACACTTTGGTGGACAACGGAGTGTTCAAACGTGGATGCCTTTTTGGTAATAAAATATTTTGTGGCAATTTTGATGGAATTCCAATAGTCAAAGGAGGAAAATTCTAAAGAAGACTCCAAGTCTCGAATTTTTTTATTGCTAGAGCAAATAAAGGAGATCGCCTCCAAGAACCCTTCAACTGGCTCCAAAATTGCTTCTTTAAGCTCCTTCTCAGATAGAGAAGAGACAAACATGAACGGGTTCGGTAAATTTATTCCAAGTGGAAGCTTTGATACGTTTCCAAGCTTCGTATTGAGTGTAAGGGGTCGAAAGTTAAACTGGGCTGGCTGAATCGCCCAGATGCACAGAACCAGATTATCGATGGGAATCATTCGATTTTCAACTGCACGAATAATTGCCTTTTCAAGAGCTTGGTCAAGGATAAACAGATTCT